CTGGTCATTGGCGGGTCCTTGGCTGGTCCTTAGATGGCCCTTGGCGGGTCCTTGGCTGGCCCTTGGCTTGTCCTTTGCTGGTCCTTAGCTGACCCTTGGCGGGTCCTTGGCAGGTCCTTAGATGGCCCTTGGCTGGCCCTTGGCTTGTCCTTTGCTGGTCCTTGGCTGGTCCTTGGCTGGTCATTGGCGGGTCCTTGGCTGGTCCTTAGATGGCCCTTGGCTGGCCCTTGGCTTGTCCTTTGCTGGTCCTTTGCTGGTCCTTAGATGGCCCTTGGCTTGTCCTTGGCTGGTCCTTGGCTGGCCCTTGGCTTGTCCTTGGCTGGTCCTTGGCTGGTCCTTAGATGGCCCTTGGCGGGTCCTTGGCTGGCCCTTGGCTGGTCCTTGGCTGGTCCTTAGATGGCCCTTGGCGGGTCCTTGGCTGGTCCTTAGATGGCCCTTGGCTGGCCCTTGGCCTGTCCTTTGCTGGTCCATCTCCTGGTCAGACCCTGTAATTCAGTGAAAGAACGGAGTCAGAGTGAAAAAATATTCACGCAAGGAGGCCAGTGGCTGGAAGTTGGAGGGAATTGGGCTGCCATTCGGCTGGCGTTTGACAGGGAAGGGCCATTTTGAATGGCTGCTACTGTCCCTAACACTAACCCAACGGCATTCCAACCTGCAAATAAAGGACATGAGGACCAACTAAATGCTTGGAGAAAATGTGTTTTGATTGGATGATGAAATTTGAAAAGAATATAAGGAGAAGACCCCATACACTGGGAGAACTTTCAACCTTTGTGCAGAAAGAATTTAGACCAGGATCTTCTTAACTGCAAGCCAAGGCTGCAGCCAATCACTCTTCAGATAAACTCACCTTTATGCTCTCTAATAATCATGAAGGGAGCACACCTGTAATCAATCATTCAGGAAGAGTAGATATGAGCAGGGAAATGAACTTCAGTCAACCGAGCCAAAAAGATTAATATTTGCTAGATTGTAATTTTAACTTTTTAATTTAGTGCCTTGCTTTAAAACACATATGGGCTGCTGTAGTGGGAAAAAAGTATTCAACTATTCACTGCAGTTAAATAAATGGAGATGGATAGATTTCACTCAGTCGGCACTTTATGTTCATATCTTTGAAAAGAGAAAACGGTTCATCATGGTAATCAGCCCTGTTCTGATCCTGACAGGGTTTGTCTCCCTTAATTGTAATGAGGAAAAAGCTGTGAAGGTTGCGTCAGAGTCACACACACAATTATACGCACTTTGGTTAAACAGTAACATGTTATGAATAAACCTGGAGAAAGAATCTGGTTTGTTATGGAAGGAGGCGTCTGGTCTACTAACGCCGTCACTCAGGGGACGTAGCAGGTGAAACAGACGGAGTGAAAACTTTTATAGTGAGTAAATAGCATACATTATTATATGAAATAAGAGAAACCAAACTTTACGACAGTAAACAGTGCAATACACAATGATCAGAACCAGAAACTGTTAAGAAATTCAGAAAAACACTTAAAATGGTGCAAGTCAGATAAACCTAAATTCTGCAGGACTTATACTGGAAATAGAGAAGCTGTTGACACTAATTAGCAAACAGGCGAAAACTTCTTATCACCATCTGCTTTTTGACCTCAGCTAATGGTCTGCTTGATTACACATATTGTAGATAGTAGCAGGATCTTTGCAAAGTTGGGATGGAGCTCAGAAACATTTGAAAATTTTATAAATTTCTAATTTTTAAAAGCTATTTTTAAATGCCTTAATGGTCTTGCCCCTGAGGTAATCTGTAAATTAGTTTTAAAGTATGCAAATGAAGGAATCAGGACAGGAGCTGGAGCTAGTGGGGACTGCAGGATTAAAATACATCTATGGGTCAATCGGCCTTCTCAGTCAAAGCATCACATCTCTGGAACTCTTTGCCTCTGGAGCTTCAGTCACAGACTGATGTTCCACTTTTCTCCACAAGATTGAAAAAATGGCTCAAAGACAGTCAAGAGTGTGAGCACTAAACTGGCTTGTACTGCACATTTATTTTTGTTTGTTTGTTTGTTTTAACTTCTCTTGTTTTTTTATGCATCTGTGTGTCGTTACTAATCTCCCTCCCCCTCAATGCTAACACCTTTTAAAAGCCTAACCAGGAACGAAGGCTGCAAATTAGCCCATGGCTACAAGCCTTATGTACTTAGACATCGGCCACCTGTTTGGTTGCAATGTTTAATTGTACTGTCCCTGTCAAATAAACAAATAAAATAAAAAAATATATATATATAAATTACAGAATTAATAATTATTTGGCACTCCTCTTTATATTAATTAAGATCCAAGGTGTTTTCTGCAGTTATTTGAACTCCAGAATAATCATTTGTAAAAGTGAGTCTGATATTACGGATCAGTTAAATGGGTCTGGCTGATGAAAGCTGGTTCTATCCATGCAAGCAGTCGCACGTTCACATGCACCCGCATGACTCAGCAGTCAGAGAGAAACTAACCAGCAATCTGAGACCATCAGTAAATCAGGAAAATCCGTGAATGCCAGCTCGGCCGTGAATGTTCGAATGCATGAATGGAAGATGCAGGTTTTATGAGGTCAAGGTGCTGAATATAATGTTTGCTGGATACTTATTATCACCAGGCTTAGCCTTGACAATTGCAAACACCAATGATAGGATAATTACCCTCGGTTTGTTTGACCTTGCAACACAACAATCTCCATAGAAATTCACGTATCATTGTTAGGCATAGATATAAATGTTTGACACCTGTTTGATAAACGGTAGAAGTTAACACAGTTAGTGGAGTTAGTGGATTATGACATAAAACATCTTTGTTTCAGATTATCAGATTATGAGGACCTGTTTTTAGATTTTTTTTTCTTATATTCATATAGTTCTACATTACAAAAAGTAGCAAAATGATCTATACTAGATCTTCTAGTCAGGCTTCTTTGCTCACCAGAGTACAGAGAATAGCCAGTGTGTAAATGATCAGTTTATGGGCTGACTTCACTCTTTTCTTTTGTGTTTATGTTACGTTTGTTTATTCATATGTTTAATATTATCTTATTTGATGTATGTTTTATGTTGCTAGGGAAAAATAAAATGACTGATTGATAAATTTATAAATGCAGACTGTAATTTATAGAGGTTTGAGAGGTGTGAAGGTAGCCAAGAATGAAAAACCAACCTTAAACAGTGGGTTAAAGGTTGGTTTACAGGAGAACAGAAGACCTCACCTGTTCATCCAGCCCAACTATTCCGTTTAACAACCCCCCCTTTCAGAGACATAGACAGGTATGGGGCATTGCAGGCTAACAAAAAAGCCAAACGACGGAGCTCGTCTGCCTGGCTGTGTGTTTCCTGGACGGGGCCGCCTGTGGAGCTGGTTGACAGTTGCCTTTTGTATCTATGCTTCTTTTTCTATGTCTGCTTCTGTCTCCTTGAACCCCAGCGGGCCTCAGCAGATGGCCGCTCACACTGAGCCTGGTTCTGCTGGAGGTTTCTTCCTGTTCAAAGGGAGTTTTTCCTCTCCACTGTCACTGCAAGCATGCTTAGTGTGAGGGATTGCTGAAGAGTCAATGAGTCGATGCAATCAGCTGGTTTTCCTTAGATAGAAAACTTGGAATCAATCTGACTGGATGATCTGGTGAACTGGAAAGTGACCTGAGATGACATGATGTGAATTGGAGCTATAGAAATAAACTGAATAGAATTGATAAAGAGATTTATGGAAACCTGGAAAATTAAAGGGAATGTTTTGGCATTGCTTGTGAACAAAAGATGTTACCGTGACGATCCGCCATCCACTGATCCATCTGTTATTTAAAGAGTTTTTTAGGTTTGTCCTGATCTCTTCCTAAGAACCGGAGAGAAAAAGCTTAAAGGTGGAACCACAGAACTTTCCTTTTATCCTGTAAAGAAAATGACTGAAAACATTATTCCTAAATAGCAGTTTATAGACATTCTTATGAATGATATAAACTAGATTTAAGGCAATCCTGGAAGAAAACCTGTTAAGAACCACAAAAGAATCGACACTGAGATTGAGGTTAAATCCTAGCAGCACCTTTGGATTAGATTATATTAGAATAGATTCAACTTTATTATCATTACACAGGTACAGGTACAAGGCAACGAAATGCAGTTTAGGTCTAACCAGAAGTGCAATAGCAGCAACTGCAGGATAAATAATGGTTCCATAAAACCATAGCTAAAATATTCTGAGTGATTTAGATCAACGCACGCTGATCAGTGTGTCACAGGGAAAGTGGAAATCTAAATAAAAGTAAGAGTTTGTCATAATTGGGGGATAATTAAAGACTTCAAATTTCCAAATAAGTGTAATAATCCAAATCAACTACAGTTTAGTCTTTACTTTTCTCTCTACTCTGCAGATATTTTTATATCTATAGGAAACATATTCCAGCTTTTTTCTTTTTTAAGCTTCTTTGGTGCTATAAACACATTTTATATTGTCTGTTGTATTTTTATCCTTAATCTTGCTTTAACTCTTTGTTCTCTATGTAAGCTACTGGAACCAGAATTTCCCTGAAAGAGTAATCCCAAGGGATTAATAAAGCTGAGTCTAAATCTAATGAGAAACATGGAAGCATTTAAGATGTAGGGATTCTTTTAAAAGCATTTGTGTTTTCACTAGTTCTTTGGAAAAAAAAGGTAAATGTTTTAAAATATAATGTTCTGATTAGTGCGTCGCACTAATGTAGGTAATCTGGTGTTTGAAGGCCATGCAGGCTGAAGGTGTTTTAGTATTTCAGCTTAGTGATTATCGTCAGTTTATTTGCTTTTTTTATTTGTTTATCTCCCTTCTGCCTCTTTAACTATAGTTATCTAACCCTGCTAGAGATTATTTGGACTTTATGCCACATCAACCTGGGAATCTTTCCAACACAGAAGCATCCATCCTGATAAGCAACCGTATTTAAATGTGAAAAAGTATTTAGTCAGAATTTATTTCACCATCTGGCTCATAACCGGACATAAACCCATTTTCTGGAGACATACCTTCGTAGGTCACCTTTCAGGATGACACAGGGATCGTCTACCTTCATATCAAACCAAAGAAATCGATCCCAGTTAAATAAATAATCCGATTTCTATTTATACTTGCCATGTTGGAGTTTCATCTTTGGCCAAATCCCAGCTGCTTTGGGCAGCAGTTGAAATTCAGCCCATATTTGGAGATCATGTTTATCTGGTTGCAGAATAGATGCAACTTTTAAGTTAACGTGAACGCTTCTAATTTCTGTTAAACACGGTTTTTATAACAAACAAAACTTTATTTATAAAGCTTAACTTTACGAACAGTTTATCATAACATAACAGAAGCTATACCAAAAATACAAGCTAGTCGTAAAATTATTCTTTTTCTTTTTTAGCCTATTTTAATATGTCAGAAACTGTAATCCCATCCAGAGGAAGTGACTGACTAAAAGCCCGGCGTACACTGTACGATCTTTTGCCCTTTCTGGGACGATTCTCCAGTTGTGCGAGAACTTTTCCACATGGGGTAACGAGGGGCGGTCAGCCTCTAACGACCCCCCCCCATCAGGAATCATAAGATCAGGAGAAAATCAAACATGTTTGAAATTCAGTCAGCCGTCGTACGGTTTTTGGGGAAAATCTTTCTGTTGAAGCAGAGCTATGAACGTTTATGAGAAATTTGTCGTCCTTTCTTGGCTAAAGGAAACTCATTTTTGGACAACAACGTTCGTATTCTGGCCAAGGAAGACAGATGGTTTGAGAGAGGAGTTAAGGAAGCCATCTTTGTTAACCTGTTGGTGGGTAAATCGCTCAGTGGGCAAATGAGGATTCTTCTTCTTCTTCCTCTCAGAGGGAAACCCAGCATCATGGCGGGGGGGCAATGAGTGAAATGGAGTTCTTCCTGTCAAACTGACAGACCGTAGTAGCCACGTTAGCTCAGCCACGTCTTTGTCCAAATACGTCGTCTCCTTTTCTTTTTAGGGCTTTCAGCACTAAATTGCCCAAATATCCAAGGCAGCGGGTTTCACTCTAGTGAGCTTCATGTTCCTCAGACTGGAGACGATGTGTTCTTTAACCAGCCTTTGGAAGCACTTCATCATGATGGGAGTGAGAGCGACAGGCCGCTAATCATTGAGGGAGGCGACCTGAGGCTTCTTTGGGACTGGAATAATGGAGGCAGACTGGAAGCATGCTGGCACTATGGATTGGTCCAGCCAGGTGTTAAAGATGTCTGTGAGGACACCAGCCAGCTGATCTGACCACTCCTTATACACCTGCCCAGGTGTGTTATCCTTGGGTTGACTCTCCTCAGAGTTTTCCTCACTTCAGCTACGTCAAGGTTTAGTGGCTCCTCCCCCTGGTGTGGAACAGCTTTCACTGCTGGAGGCTGTTTAGTGCCTCAAACCTTCCAAAGAAGTTGTCCAGTTCATTTAGGAAGTCAGTGTTTGCTGCATCTACCGCGGGGGAGGGGGGGTTGTAATCTGTGATCATCCCAATGCCTTTCCACATCCTCCTGGTGTTGCTGTCGTCAAGGAAAAGATCCTGGATCTTCTGCTTCACTGATCTAATGGTTGTTCTGATCTGGTTTAACCTCTTAAAACTGGACCTTGAGTGGGGCTAATAATTCAGAATGCATAAAATTCCACCGGTAAAATTTGTAACAGCAGGTGGAGCCATTGTGCGCAGCTCCAAAGTGACGCCAAAAGCTCCATAGCCCACAGCTCTGGAACTGTTATAGCTACAGGTCGGAAATGTTCTGCATTTGTGGTTGACAAATATAAAACAATAAAACCTGCCTTTTCTCAAGAATGTCTTTATTACTGCTGTTCTATCATTTCCAAAAACAACTTTCAGTCATGTTTGAACTGATGCAGGTCGGTCTGTGTTCTAGTCACCCAATTTTAATGTATAGTATATTAGGAAATTAGAGGGTGTTAGCTTTCAAATAATGTATTGCACTTGTCATTTCTTCTTCACTTGTCGCTTCTGTCAGTGAGCCCCAGGGCAGCTGTGGCTACAATGTAGCTTGCCACCATCAGTGTGTGAGTGTGTGTGTGAATGGGTGAATGAATGTAGTGTAAAGCGCTTTGGTCAAGTCTCCTAACTTGAATAAAGGCGCTATATAAGTACATGCCATTTACCATTTACCATTTACCATTTCGATGTACAGTTCCTAAGTTATTTGCTTTCCCATTTGGGTATGTAAAATAGGCGAGGGTTACCCAAAATGAGGTGGATGTTAGGAGGTTAAGTTGTCACGCGCTGTTCTCAGTGCCTCTTTATCTCCAGACCTGAAAGCTGAGTTTGGCTCTTTTAGCGATTTTCTGAACCTCTCCATTTATCCAGGGTGGTTGGTTGGCCCGGGTGGTGATGCTCTTTTTGATGCTGACGTCCTCAATGCATTGGTTGATGTAGCCTGACACAGTCATGGCATACTCATCTATATTTAATAAGTTGTCATATGTTGCTGCAGCCTTGAAGATGTTCCAGTCAGAGCATTCAAAACAGTCCTGGGGTGTCTCCATGGCCCCCTCAGACCACACTCTGACCTCTTTAACTGTCGGTTTAGCCCTGGTCAGCTGGGGCTTATATGCAGGGATTAGTATGACAGATAGGTGATCTAATGACCCGAGGTGGGGGCTGCTCTGAATGCATCTTTGATGTCAGAGTAAACCAGGTCTAAAATGTTTTCACCCTGAGTTGAAAAGTCCACATGTTGGTAGAAATGAGGGAGAACAGTCTTCCAGTTAGCCTGGTTAAAATCCCCAGCAATGATGTAAACAGCCTCAGTGTGCAGATTGGAGCTCAGAGGTAGCCTGGTATCGAGTCTTCATGGCCTCTTTAGTGTTAGCGCTGGGGGGGGGCACATAAACAGCAGTGATGCTAACCACACTGAACTCTCTGGGCAGATAGAACGGCCTGCAGTTAACAGTCAGAAACTCCAGAAGCTGGAGACTGATCTAGCATTTTTACACCAGCTGTTGTTGATGTAAACACAGAGCCCCCCCCCCCCCCCCCCCCCCCCCGAGTCTACCGCTTAGTTCTTTGTTCCTATCGGCGCAGTATAGCGTTAGCCCCTCCAGGCTAATAGCATCGTCCGGTATTGCTGGATGCAGCCATGACTCCTTCCTAGATGACAGTTCCAGTCGGAGATTATCCATTTTGTTTTCCAATGACCGAATGTTAGAGAGCAGGATTGATGGAACCGGAGGTCTGTGAGGATTTCTCCTTAGCTTCACAGTTAGCCCCCCTCTACATCCTCGCTTTCTCCGTCTCGCGCATCTCTTCCTTCGGCAGTTACGTTCCGCCGTTGTTTTTTTGAGATCCGTCCGTAGCACTCCTCAGCTTTTTAAACTGTCAAAAATGTCTGGATTTAAAACATTCTGTGAGCGTAGCTCTAGCAGGCGTTGGCGATCATAGATGCCGGTTTGATGTCTAGTCTATCGTTTTAAGCGGCATATTATGTGAATTTGTCAAGAGCACTGGCGTGTTCAGGGAGTGGCCTTGGGTGGCACAGGCCACCCCTGAAATCTGATTGGCCACCCCAAGTGCCACCCCAAAATTTTAAAATATGATTGGCTATATGCCCAGTCAGAGGCGGGCCACTGCACTGAACGTAAAATGCGCTCTTGTTTTGAGTTGAAGTTGAAGAAGGCACGAAGAAGACGTTGATGAACCTACAGGTGAATACATTCTCCAGTCTATCAGAAAGCAGCACGTCTCTGGCGCGACGTTGTGAAATATGTGAGTTGCCTACATTTTACTACACTTACTGTGCCTGTAGTTAGAAGCTGTAACGGTAATAAGCTAAACATGTACCCCGTCTTGTTTTATTTGTTTTATTATAATTGGCACACGGCTGTCGTCTCCTCATCTCGTTAGAAAACACTGTTTTGACTGTCAACGATGCTAACGCTAACATTTAGCTATTCTGTACTTAGTAAAACTGTTATATTAGACCCATATAACATCATTTACATTTAATTTTCATTCTTGTGTGTGCACAATTAGTTATTGTACAACATATAAGAATGTCGTGCATTATGGGACTATTACAGTATGAAAAGAAGTCAGAATATTAAAGATTTCTTCGCAAGGAAGAAATCTAAGATAGAGCCAGAGCAGGGGCAGAGCAGTCAGTCACAGGATGAGAGCCAGCCTTCAGCCTCAGCTGTACACATTGGTAGGTGAAATCCTGATAGTTCAAGTTTGTTCTCATGTTTGAACTTACTAATTTGGTTTGATTGTACCATACCTCTTAGTTTACTTAGGAAAGGCTGATTGTATTATCATTCTAATCACAGCTTATGTATTATTATAGAGTCACCCTCAACATCACATACACATCAGGGTATGTATGAATTTACCTTCTTTAAAACATTATGTGCATTGATTCGAACTGAGATATTTCAAATATACTACAGTGTCATATACTGTCATTAAGCGTGTAGACAATTTTTAAACAATACTGGTGTGAAAAGCCTAAATGTGACAATTTGAAATTTTGAATTATAAAGAACTGATAAAATCTCTGTATTGCTACAGGTGTGTCCAGTGCTGAGGTTCTTGCAGGCCATCCACAGGGGGATAGTGGTGTGGGAGCCTCTTATAGCCAGCCGGGACCTATTGGTAGGTCTCAACAATTCATTTTTCATATGAAGTATAATATACTTAGGCCCATTTTCATTCTAATGACAACCTATGTGTTATTGCAGAATCAGGTGAAGATTCTTGTGATGAGGGCCCTTCACCATCACACATGCAGCATAGTATGTATGATTTACCTTTTTTTAAATTAACATCACAGTATCTGCTTTTATTTAGATCAGGATACGAATAATACTGGTGTTTAAAAACTTTATAGGTTTTTTTTTTTTCAAATGTGCATTGTTTACTTATGTTGGCATGGTAAGGTAAGCTATATTTGTTTTGTACAGTCTGTACCTCTACCAAGTTTTGCACAGTTTCATCAAGCAAATATCAATACGTATATATATATATATATATATATATATATATATATATATATATATATATATATATATATATATATATACATATACCAAAGTCTAGATGTGGGTGTGTATTTTCTTGTGTGCATGTGTGCGTGCATATGTGAGTGTATATGTCTGTGCGCAGGCGGTCCTGCTCATACTTCATGTCACCCCTGCATAAATCAGTGCCCCACTGGTGCCACCCCTATCAAAAATGTCTGGACACGCCCCTGGTCAAGAGGAGCCGTTCTTGGCCGCTGCTTTGGAGCGCCGCCATGGCAACAAATATACAATGAAAATACATGCAAAAATAATTCAGTGTTTAAAATACAGTGTACAAAAAAGTCAGATTCCAATAGGACTGTTTTTCTTCCATATTAAACTGATTTATCAAAGCTATCCATTACAAAATCACTCACTTTTAGTTTGTAAAACTAAAAACACAAACACTGCTTTACACTCAATGTTATATTTCACAGTAAAGTGTAAACTTCCCACCTTAGTTGTTTTTTATTTTTTTAAATCTTGCTACATCTACATCCTCTGCGATGCCACGCTCATGCAGTCCTTCCAATGCTGGTGCTAACAGGATGTTTCTGGGGACAGGAACTAAGTGAGGATGTAAGAAATCGGATTTTCTTTCTGATGCAAGGCGCCTAAACTCGCACTCAAACGCAGGTCAAATTAAAGAGTTATGGTTTGAGACCTTTGTCCTTCCTACATCTTTATTCCAATTCCCAATGATGTTTTAAATGCCGGGTTTCTGTTTTCACTTTTATCTTATCTGCATCATAAATCGGTGGTTAACTCAGCGCCGATTCTATCAATGAGTATCTAACTTTTCCTTTTTAACTGTTGGAGGATTTAATGAATCCCACTGGTTTTTGTTTTGACTGTAATGTTTTATAATTCAATTATTTATTCATGGTAATGGTTAGAGTGAATGTAGCTTCAGTGTTACAGCAGTTGTTACGCCTTGAAGGAATAAAATAAAAACAGGACCTCTGATGGACAGCATCTTTGTACAGTTTGTGGATGTGGGAGTGTATTATTCAGACCCCCCATTAGGGGTGCCAAATAAGTTCAGACTATTACACTTTATTCTGTGAACACAGAACAAAGTGTGCATCCAGCTCAACTAATGGTCAGTTTTAGAGGTTTGGCTGCTTCAGCACGACTGATTTTCATCGATTCCTGATTAAAACGACTTTTCCTGAAATGCAATCATCAGAATCATATTTGTTCAACTCAACTATATTGTCAAATGTGCTACATGGTAAACATACAACACAGATGAAATTGCAGTCCTCTCAATATAATGAACCATAGCATAAAAAAAAACAAAAAAAAAAACCTAAGATATAACAATAAATATAGGTATAGATATATTGCTGAAGCAGAAACCCTCTAAAACCTGCAGGACAGCTGTCCTTTGGGCAGGCCTGCCCTACAGCCTGATCTTAGCCCCTAATACATCACCCTTCACCGGCCATTAAGAACTTAAATGGTTATTTTACTCTTAAAACTGACCTGTAACTCAGAAATACATGAACAAGAGATTTTTAAGAAACAGGGTATTAGGTTCTGCAGCTGAGCTAAACCTGAAACCCAAGATGATCTAATTTCCACCCATTTTTTGTCTCGCTTATCCCAGCTGGGGTGCCGAGGGATGCTGGTCTCCAGCTGTCTACGGACGAGAGGCGGAGTCCACCCTGGACAGAGAGGCGGGGTCCATCCTGGACAGGTCTCCAGTCCATCGCAGGGCAACACAGAGACAAACAGGACAAACAACCATTCACACTCACACCTAAGGAGGATTTAGAGAAACCAATTAACCAATTAACAGTCATGTTTTTGGACTGTGGGAGTCTGCAGACTGACGTTAGTCTGGCTATCCCAGACTGACTGGAAGACACTGACATTGGGTCTAACGATGGAAATAGATAGTAAAGGAAATAGAAAGTAAATATAGTTATATAGTATAGTAAATATATATATTATAGCAGCCCAACAAAAGAAGATTCTAGCGAGCTCTTTAAAGAAATTAAAATTGAGATCCACTAGGATCCATCAGTGATTTGAGGAATGGGATTTCCTAAGTTAAAAGATGCCCAACTAAAGTACAACAGATAGCGACAGTTAGCATGTGGCGCATCTTAACAGCAAGTTCCCCCAAACACATTCAGGGAATGCTTTTGCTTGTCTGATTGGGTAATATGTGCCATCGGCTTAGACGATGTCATTTGCCCCCAAGTGACCTGAGAGGAGGTGAACAGCTCCAGGTTACTGTAGTATGAACTCACAGAACAACATGGACCAAAACATGTCAGCAATATGACTGAAAACAAAATACTTTTTACCGCATAAATACATGAATTCTGTAGGAACAGATGATGTCATCACTTTTTTTTTCATTTAGCTAATCCTTTTTTTTCAAAGTTAAAGCTATGGAGCAAAATATATGCAGCTGGGGTTACGTGAGGTCATGTTGGAAACAACTGACCCTGAGGAGAGGTTACCTCTAAAGGCACTGAGATATCAATAATTAAAGAGCTACCAGACACTTTGCTCCAACTGCTGGTACTCTAATGGGTAAATCAATATACATTTGCACATATTGATTATTATTTTATTTTTTATTATTCCCCAGTGTCCTGTCTGGTGATGTGGCAATAAGAATAATTGTCTTGATGCCAAAAAGAGCCCAACAAATTTTACTTTCACAAGTGGAGCAGTACGGCTATCGCCATCGTGTTCCGCTTGATTTATGCATATAAATAGCTTTATTACAATTATGCAGGGAGTATTACAGATTATATGGACACTGCAATGTATGTAGAACAGGAAAGGATAAACAGGAAAAAAGGAGAAAGAAAGAAAAGAGGAGAAAAAAGGGAGATAATGATAAAACATTTTCAGTCTGCTTCATCACCTGCAAAGAGATGGAAAAAGAACAGAACAACCAACGGATATAGTATAGATAGAACAAAGTAACACCTAGATACTATCGCTGAAGTATAAGTAGCATTTAATCTGACATGTTTACTGTGTTACCTGAAGATCAGAATATGGTCTTTCTGTGTGGAAGTGAATCTCTGAGTACCTGGAACCAAACACCTGTAGTTGATTGTGAGAGTGAACCTTTGTATGTAAAGTTTATCCAGAGGAAAAATGCTCAATAGTGGTTGTGAAGAGCCAAAGACCTGCCCCCCCCCCCCATAGGACTAATATCTAGTGAGACACAGCGGCGGCTGGTGGACTTTTCTCCAGGGGGCGCTATAAATTCAAAATAGACATATACCAAAAGCCAATCAAATGCATACTAAGTTATCACACCAGCAGAGATGGGAAGTAACGAAGTACAAATACTTTGTTACTGTACTCAAGTAGATTTTTCTGATATTTTTACTTTACTTTACTACTTATTTTTATGGCGACTTTTTACTTCTACTCCTTACATTTTTACACAAATATCTGTACTTTCTACTCCTTACATTTTTAAAAAATTGTCTCGTTACTTTAGTTTTGAATCATTTCAATGGAGTTACCGTTATTATTTTTCACGTCATCAATACCAAATTCAATCTAATTGGATGGGAATCTACATTGCATTTGACGCACCACTACAAGATGAATCGACAGAAAAATCACAAATCATTGCAGCTTGGTGGCGGTGGCGTTAGCATAGTAGCATGGACGACGAGATGATTGAAAATGAACACAACGGAGATCTAGTCCTATTGGCAGACATCCATTTAAAATGTAGGCAACGGCATGAAAAAAGTGGTTTCTACTTTTACTTTTATACTTTAAGTAAATTTACAAGCCTGTACTTTGTTACTTTTACTTGAGTAAAGAAGTTTAATCAGTACTTCCACTTTTACCAGAGTATTTTTTAACACAAGTATCTGTACTTTTACTCAAGTACGGAAAGTGAGTACTTTTGCCATCTCTGCACACCAGTATATTTATATGAATGCCAACAGCAAAAAAAAATTATAAAACACTTTATAAAAACAAGGCATCATTTCATGTCCAGGTTTACTTTAAATCCTGCCCTTATGAGGCGTTGTGAAGGTTAATCTGTTTTTCATGGTCCAATATTGAGTCACATCCCTAAAAAGATATGTACCAGTTAAATAATGGAGAAGCTATTAGTTAACTTTATATTTTTTTAATTTTCTGAGAATGTGTTTATTTAAGAGCACCTATGCAGATGAACAAACATCTAGAAAACATAGACTATATTCTATTATTTTCTATGTGAATCCCTGATTCTTCTTTGCCTTTTCTAAAAGGTGCTTTAAAGTCGTAGGGAAGTCGTATTTAAATGTCGATATAATGCAAATGTCAGTAAGTAGATAATAATTTTACCACCTAATATGGAGCCGAGTTAAAGACGACCTTATTGCAAATAAAATAGATCAGATGCAACAGCAATCACCTCTGCTATTTTAATAGAAATACCACAAGTTTCCCTTTTGAAAATATTGCACTTAACTTAAAAAAAAATCACTTTTTATCTTCGGTGTTATAGATAATAGATATAATTGCATTTTATTTTAGATGTAAAATTCATGCATATGTTGCTGCCATAAATGACGCTCACTGTTAAAGGTACAAAGGGCTGAGAGTTACATGATTATCAGATAAAAATTGGCAACTAATACAAATATGTTTATTATCCTTAACCTTGACCTTGACTCAGATCGTTCAAGGATACTTTCTGTTGCTTTCTATCAGCAACGCTATTTTAAATCAGCAACAGGTGGAACCTGCAGCTTAGATAAAGCAGATTGGCAACTGTTACATTTCTATTGCAAAAAAGAGTTTATTTTCCCTATAAGAAACGAGGCGGTTTTAAATCATCAGTGTGAGTTTGCACATGCAGAATATCGGCTCATTACTATCAGTGACAGGAAAGTATTATGAAATAAGTGTCCTTCAAAAGAATTTAGTCCAAACACACAGTGGATTATATAACTTGTTTGACCTGCCAGGGTTCTAAATAAAAGATGTTTCCTAGAATTTAGCCTTATAAAAGGTTGATGATCAGCTTTTTATTTTTATTTTGTTTTTTTTTTTACAATAGTTTAGTTTTTCTGAACCTCTTGTTGTACTTTAGCTAAAAACTGTTTTTCTCTGCAGTTGGACTGATGGATTCTCTAGCCTTAGAATCCAGCAATTCCACCAGATCAACAGTTTGTTTCGCTTTTTTCAAGCATCTTAGTTGTGATTTTTTTTCCTCCATTAAGGCATTTTTTTGTTGTTGCAGTGAGTCTCATTCTAGTTCACATGTTTCTACATCCACGGCATGGTGAGCTTTATTTATCAGTTTATCTGAATAGGCTTGTTTCGGTGGGATTGTTAGCATCCTCCTGTTGCACATGCAGCTTAATGTTTCTGCTAAATAAGAATTCTTAATTTGAACAAAATATGCGTGACTGGTTTATACTAGCTTGTCTAATCATGGCAGACTGTTAATATCAGAAAGTGATTTTTATGCAACAGAAGGAAGAAAGGATCGAAATAAAGAACGTTTAATAAATATCTGATATTTTAATGAATGTTCTAGATTACGCAGTGAAAGGAATTTTTTAATTTCTTAGCTACTGCTGTAACATTTAACCCAAGAAAATATCTTTAATCACAATTGCCTTTTAGATATATATAATTTTCTTGGCATTTATTTATTTTCAAAAGAGAGGATACAGAAATAAGTGAAATATTTTAAAGCTATGGAATAATAATAATAGTAAAAACTCATGCATAAAATCTACAGCTAACTGTAGAATGGGGATTTCAGATATATACATTATACAGTACATTTAAAATAGTAAATGCGAGCTTAAGCTGTGCTTTTTCTTTAATTTTGAATTATATCAAATCTAAATAGGCCTCTCATCATCAAGTCTGATCCAAAGGGGGTAAATAGAGTAGTATAGATAATCTCTTTATTGTCCCACAATGGGGAAATTCTGGTATAAATAGGATAATAAAATGTTTAAATTAAAAATATTTACACTTCTCTGCATATGATGCCTAATTTTCAATTCTATTCAGTTTATTTCTATAGCTCCAATTCCCATCATGTCATCTAAGGTCACTTTCCAGTTCACCAGATCATCCAGTCAGATTGATTCAAAGTTATCTAAGGAAAACTGTTTCTAAAGATGTTTTATGTTCAGTTTTATTTCCTTTAAAGATGTTTTATCATTTCTACAAATGATTTTTATTTTTGTCTGCTGGTTATGTGCATCTTATGATGCGGCAATATCTGCAAAGTTTTTTTAATAATAATATTAATAATAATAATAAGACAGCTAGGCCTTTCTCCACACTCAAGGACATCATAAAGATAAACAAAACACATTTAAAGAAACAAGATAATAATAATAATAATACATTTTATTTGTATTGCACTTTACATTTAAAAAAAAATCTCAAAGTGCTACAAAATTCATAGTTAAAACAAAACCGTATAATAAAAACGGTATACATAGTTAAAATGAGACATTACAGTAAAATAACATACGTAGTAAAAACAAAACAGTAAAATAACCATAAAACCACACAGATAAAATACTAACTAATGTTCGTAGGCTTTTTTAAATAAAAATGTCTTGAGGCCTTTCTTGAAGGCCTCCACACTCTGTGGGACCCTAAGGGACTCTGGGAGGCCATTCCAGAGTTGTGGGGCAACTGCCTGGAAGGCCCTATCTCCCATTGTGCAGAGCTTGACTCTTGGCTGGTGCAGTCGGTGGGTGGAGGTGGTGGAGCGGAGGGTTCTGGAGGCGGTGTGAGGTGTGAGGAGTTCCTTGAGGTAAGCCGGGGCAGTTCCATGTATGCACTGGTGAGTGAGGAGGCAAAGTTTGTAATCTATTCTGTGTTGGATGGGCAGCCAATGAAGGGACCTGAGGACTGGAGTGATGTGTTCGTGTTTGCGCCTCCTCGTCAGGACCCGGGCAGCACAGTTCTGGATGTGCTGCAGCTTTTGTAGACTTTTGCCAGGGACCCCGACGAGGAGGGCATTACAGTAGTCCAATCTGGAGGAGACAAAGGCATGGATTAGCTTTTCTGCGTCGGGTTGGGAAAGGGAGGGGCGGAGTTTGGCGATGTTTCTGAGGTGGAGGAAAGAGACCTTGCAGAGGTGACGTATGTGGGAGTCAAACGTGAGATGTGGATCCAATTTGACACCAAGGTTTGTGACAGATGAGGACAGAGGGATGTTTTGACCGAAGATAGGGATACTGTTTAGGGAGAAGGACTTGGTTTGGTGTGGGGTGCCAATGAGAATGGCTTCTGTTTTGCTGCTGTTGAGCTGTAGAAAGTTTTCAGCCATCCATGTCTTTATCTCCTCCAGGCAGCAGTGAAAAGCAGATGGCAGAACTGTGGGAGAAGTGGAGTCCATTTTTATGTACAACTGGGTGTCATCTGCATAACAATGAAAAGATACCTTGTGTTTTTTGATTATCTGACCGAGTGGGAGCATGTAGATGGTGAAAAGGGTCGGCCCAAGGACCGACCCTTGAGGCACTCCGCAGCTGACTGTATGGGGTGATGAATTGGACTGTCCTATGGCAACAAATTCGGACCTTCCCGTGATATATGACTGGAACCAGTTGAGTGTGGTTCCAGAGAGTCCAACTGTGGTCTGAAGACGATGGAGTAGGATGGTGTGGTCAACGGTATCAAAGGCAGATGATAAGTCCAGTAAGAGGAGGAGTGATGGTGAGCCCTGGTCCGCAGTCATGAGTAGGTCATTCATGACGCGGACCAGGGCTGTCTCTGTGCTGTGTGCTGATCGGAAACCAGACTGAAATTTTTCATATAGTTTATGGGTGTGAAGATGACTGTGGAGTTGAGCTGCTACAACTTTTTCCAGAACTTTGGATAGGAATGGCAGGTTTGAAATGGGTCTGTAGTGGGCCAGGATTTCAGGGTCGAGTGAGGGCTTTTTCAGATGGGGGCGAATGACTGCAGTTTTGAGAGCTGGAGGAACCTGACCGGAGTGTAATGACTGGTTAATTATTGCTGTGATTAATGGACTGATGGCTGTGATGTGATTTTTTAGTAGTGCAGTGGGGAGAGGGTCCAGCACGCAGGTGGATGGCCTCATGCTTTTTAAGATCTTCTCCACCTCTGTCTGCGTGACGTCTGAGAAAACTGAGAAAGTATTGTGTTGGGTTGAGGGACTGCCGTCAGCGGGTGATGGTGATGGGGCTGTAACAGGGAAGGCTGACCGGATTGATGCTACCTTTGTTTTGAAGAAGTCCATAAATCTGTTACACTGACTAGTACTATTATCGACATGTGCATGTGTGGGAGGTTTGAGCAGAAAATTTATTGTTGAGAATAGTTGTTTTGGGTTTCCAGTGCTGTTTGAGATTTTTTGTGAGAAATATTGGGATCTGGCTGTGGTGAGTGCTCTGACATATGATGTTCGATGTTCACGGTAAGCCTGTCTGAAAACTTGTAGTCCAGTGGAGGTGTATTTCCGCTCCAGGGCACGGCCAGCAGTTTTCATTTTGCGGAGCTCTATGGTGTACCAGGGGGCTGATTTGGAAAAGTGAACTGTTCTTGTTTTTAGAGGTGCATGAGATTCCAGGATATTATGGAGGCTGGAATTGTAGTAGTTAACAGATCCATTAATTGATGTGAACTGTGGGTCAAGTGAGATGTTTTGTATGTCCTGGTTGAGGAGGTTGCCATCTATTGCTTTTAGGTTTCTGAAATGGATCTGACGTTTTGTTTTATTGTACGGGCCTGCTAAGGACAGTTCCATGGAGATGCTGTTGTGGTCTGACATGCCTAAGTCATGTACCTGCAGATTGGTGATGGAAGCACTGTCTGTAATAACCAGATCCAGTGTGTGGCCTTTGGTGTGTGTTGGTACTGTGACAAGAATAAAGATAAATAAAACCAATAACATAGACGAAGGCAATGGCAATATCAATGGGCCTCAGATAGAAACGTCTTAAACAGATATGTTCTGGGTTGTGATTTGAAGTGGGGGGGGGGATCGATGTTTCTGAGTTGGGATGGTAAAAAACTCCAGAGATGGGAACCAGAGCGGCTGAATGCTCTATGGTTCCCATGGTACTGAGACAGAGGAGACAGACCGGTGAGCGGAGGAAGAGGATCAGAGGGAACATGCAAAAAAAGTTCAAATCAATCAACTGGACTTTGTTTCCAACTCTGAAGACGTTTCTCTTCCATCCAGGAAGATTTTTCAGTTCAAAATGTCAGAAATAGCGTTTAGTTCCAGGTTTTATCCAGCAGCCCAACAAAGCCTGGTTTTAGTTTAGAAAACATGCAAATAGAAACGGATGAACGGGTCCCCCCCTTTGGAATGGGGGTCGTTTGGCTTCTTTGTTAGCCTGCAATGCCCCATACCTGTCTATGTCTCTGAAAGGGGGGTCGTTAGAGGGAATAGTTGGTCTGGATGAAAAGGAGAGGTCTTCTGTTCTCCTGTAAAGGGGTTGGAGCTGCGATGATAGCGGGAAGGAATCAACTCTATCGCTGCATTGAAGGTTTTTGAAAGCTGGAATCTGAGTCCCCCCCCCCCCCCCCCTCTGTTTAAGGTTGTTTTTTTCTTTCTTAACATAGATGCTTCCTTCCTCTCTAACCACCTGTCTTCTTTGTCCATCAGGTGTAGATGTAGCGCAGAGTCTTGTCCAGAGGAGGGCGCTCTTCTGTGTTGGTCCATGCGCCTGTGGAGAGGTTGTTTGGTTTCTCCAATATAAAGATCAGAGCATTCCTCGCTGCATTGAACTGCAGACACTCTGCTCAGATTAGGATGAACTGGTCTCTGTTTCAGGGTCTGTTTGGTTTGAAATGTTCTGAGATTTTATGTTTGGAGAAAATCCTCTGGAGTTTTTCAGAGTTTCCAGCAACATCTTGGATGGAGATGTTTCTGCGTTTAATCTTCTCCCCGTTATCTTCTGCTGTGTGTCTTTTTGATTTCCTGTTGATTTGACAAACCCCCAGTTTGGGTCTCTGCAGGTTTGGAGAGCATCTTTGTTTCTGTTTTAGTAGAGACATGCTGGGCCCGCTGCTGGAAGGTTCTGATGATGGAAAGTTTGTGTTTCAGGTGTTTCAGTGGGTTGGAAACTTGGAAACAAAGTCCAGTGGATTGTTTTTTAACTTCTTAGGGATTCAGAATGTTCTCTTTGTCGGAGAAAAGTGAAAAGTTATTGGTTTTTGTTCTACTAGTGTCGTCATCTGGAAACAAAACAAAACAAAGCTGACGAGCTCTTTGTCGGTTTTAAAGAATAAATCATTAAATAAAGCAGTTAGAGCAGCACTCAGGAACAGAGACAGAACATAATTGACAGGACAGTCTGTTTTGTCTTTAAAGAGTAAAAAATCAACCAATGTCCGCCTCCAGGAAGGTGCCCCCACTAAACGGAACCCTTCTGTTCTCTACAGAGATGATTATATAGTCAGTAAAACACATATCATAGCTTTAAGTTCTGCTCCATATTTGTGCCACAGTGCCTTTCTAGTCTGTTGATACAAAACTATCTAACAGGGATTCCTGTGTTTAGTTATTTTATGGAAGATACTCCAGATAAAAGATCTTATACTGTAAACAGAGAAATAAAAGTGACTTGAAATAAAATTAGCTGATGACTGGAAAACACTAAAACACTTTAAATGTTAGAAACAGTCATAAAATAGGATCAAGCGTGTTTCTGCTGCTGTTTAGGATCAGATTATTCACATTTAGGCAGAAATTCTGCTAAAAGTTCTAAAAGCAAGATGATAAATCAATTTTTGGAGTGTGGATGGTGGTAGATCAACACATAATACACACAATAATAACAAGACAATTGGAAGAAATTTATTGATGCAATTACTTTAGTCTTTGGCGCTCAGACCTCGGCAGGAAACATTAGCACTGAATTGTGATAGATATGCATGAACAGGAGTAAAGAACAGGGCTGTTTCCCCCCCAGGCCTGAAACTGGTGGTGGAGTGGAGATAGATGGAGTTGGTCAGTCTGTAGACTGCTGGTTGGAGAGACGGTCTGCTGAGCTTTATGGGGAGATCCAGTGGACTGCGTGAGCTGATACTAGAGCTTCACTCAGGGACCTGGAAGATGGAAGTCCAGCTGGATAACACAGGTTGAGAGAACCTGTTCATGATGAGCAAGCATGAGGTGACAGTGGAGAGGAAAAGCTTCCCTTTAGGAAGAAACCTCTGGCAGAACCAGGCTCAACATGGCGGTCTGCTGTCGGACCGGTTGACATGATACAGGGAACGCAGTAAGAGTCCAGAAGGAATGACGCTCTGATGAAGCTTTAGCTACGATGGTGGATGATAGTGCGACCACTGCCTGCGTTTGGCTAGCAGACTGAGATGTGAATTTGTTAAGTTGAACTCTGGATGCTGATTGGCTTTCGTGGAGGCGTGGTTCAAAGCTGATTAGCTGTGTCGGAGGTGGATGAAGGCGAATAATCACTTTATTCAGTTGAACTTCTGCCAAGGCTTCAATATGAATAACAGCTCAGGTCATTTATGGTCGTATGCAGTCTTGAAAGGATGAGTTTTAATCTTCATTTAAACACAGATAGAGTATTAATATTTCAAATATCAAGAGGAAGTGAAGCTCTGCTCTCTATGGTAATGAGAGCAGGCTCAAAAAATCTTCATCCTTGGATAAAAACGATTCGTTTCCTACTAAGAGGATCTCTGTTCTAAGCAATTTAGCTTTGGGAACTTAGAGGTCAACAGAACTTTACTTTCAGTTAGGCAGAAGTTGGGGGTTTAAAGTTTGGCTTACCATAAATAAATAGAGCTGGGTGTCATCTGCATAACAATAAAAACGGATATAAAATTTACCCAAAAAATGTTAAAAAGAGGTGAAGGTAAGTAATGAAAAGCAGGGGCACCGGGACATAGTCCTGAGGCACACCGGATGGTTCTTAATCAGAACTGAAGGACGAACTGGATGAACTGAGTGACGGCAGACAAGGGACTGGAACTGGAGATTCA